AAGCGTGAAAATGTTGTTGAAATCCATGATTATGCGATAAGATCGAAAAGTCTTATGACGATGTTTCCCTGGCAAACATGACGAATAACTTAGACTTGCCAAGATGGTAGAGTTGAACTAAGTTTATGATGTTTCAGTATGAAACATGACGAATAACTTAGACTTGCCATGCTGGTAAAGTTGAACTAAGTTTACGATGTTTCGGCATGAAATGTGACGAATAACTTAGACTTGCCATATAGTAGAGTTGAATTAAGTTAGCGATGTTTCCGAATGAAACATGATGAATAACTTAGACTTACCATATGATAGAGTTGAACTCAACTTGCCAATGGTAGAGTTGAACTAAGTTGGCGATGTTTCCAAATGAAACATGACGAATAACTTAGACTTTCCATATGGTAAAGTTGAATTCAACTTGCCTATGGCAGAGTTGAACTAAGTAGGCGATGTTTCCAAATTAAACATGATAAATAAGTTAGACTTACCATATGGTAGAGTTAGTTGAACTCAACTTGCCTATGGTAGAGTTGAACTAAGTTGGCGATGTTTCCGAATGAAACAAGACGAATAACTTAGACTTGCCATAACGGTAGAGTTGAACTAAGTTTGATCTAGTCAGATTAACAGAGACACTGAGATAGAAAACCTCGGCTAAGATTTGTTTGAATCAGACTTCGGCAAAATTAAAGATGCATGCTTACCGTGAACATAAGTGATACTTAGGTTCATATTAGAGGGCAGGAAGCAAGAATAAAGAATAGGCTTGACACTTGTTGAAATTTACAAGTTGGAGTCAGCTGAGATATCTAGATGAAGGAAGCAGGAATAAGATTCGGTAGAGTTGAACTAAGTTTGATCTAGTCAGATTAACAGAGACACTGAGATAGAAAACCTCGGCTAAGATTTGTTTGAATCAGACTTCGGCAAAATTAAAGATGCATGCTTACCGTGAACATAAGTGATACCGGGTTTGGGTCGTGACAGCAGGAAGCAAGAATAAAGAATAGGCTTGACACTTGTTGAAATTTACAAGTTGGAGTCAGCTAAGATATCCAGATGAAGGAAGCAGGAATAAGATTGACACTTGTTGAAATTTTTGAAAAAATTTACAAGTTGGAGTCAGCCGAAGTATCCAGTTGGAGTTACCCGAGATCACTAACCAGGTCGTCAAACCTGGAAATGTTGGAAGAGTGAAGTCTTGATAAAAGACAACAAGTACAAGTAAGTAAGCAATACTTATTGAATGTTATTCAAAGAATTTTTATAAAGTGCCCCATTAGCCGAGATCATAGTAAAAGGTGAACTCCGAGGTAAGTTGGTCTGAGGTGACCAACTAAGGGTACACCCGAGATGAAGTGGATCCGAGGTGGTACATGTCAGATGTGTTCTAACTCGAAGTGATTACACAATTAAAATATACTTGGGAGAAGTACAAAAATATTCTAAGTATGGAATCATACAAGGCAGTAAAAACAGAGACAAGCATTTAACACTTGGTCAAAAAGAGGACTTGCATTCAAAAAGACAACTTGTTCAGATAGAAAAGAAGGCACCTTGGCCTGAAGCAAAACAAGATGCCAAGATGGAATCTAACTCCACCCTCAATGATAGATACTGCAGAGAAGGACATATATTTCTCTACAAGCATTATGGAATCCTCCTCTCCAACCAACCTTAGATGAGCGTCGGCTGGAATGGAGAATTCCTGACGGAAGTATTCTAGTTTACTGGAGGAGTCTACCCTCCATTTGAACATCCCCATGACCTCAGCTAGGGCGATTTTGGCAAGGAAGGTTAGACTGTGTGGGTTAAAGACCTCAGCGAAACCCTAAGGAATGCTGGGTTATCAGTTTCAGGGTTCTGAGGAAGGTTTGGGGACAAAATTTGTTTCAGTTTCCTAAGTGTGGATTCTAGCAAATCCAAAACCTAAGTCTATGCAAATGTACAAAATTCAAAGGTAGTAATTTGCTAACAAGCAAGAACAGATAGAAGAAACAAGTCTCAAAAACATGAAACAGTGATCAGAGATTCAAGAATACGAGAAAAATAGAGCATTGACAGATTTAGGGTATGAACAAAATTGATAGAATTCGGTGACAGTGTGCCAGAAGATATGTATCAAATATAGAAAATGTGAAGATATGCTCAAGAACATGAAGGACAAAATATGAGCCAAAGCAAGTGAAGGCATGTAGAACATTGGGATTCTAATATGAATACAAGATGGCAATGTCGATGCAGATACAAATACCGTGTGTGATGTGTAACAATCCACAGAAGGAATATATTTGAAAACAGTGGAAAACTGAAGTTAAAATAAAAAAAAAAAATCAAGGACTTACCAAGCGGAGTCGAGGAAGTAAATGTCAAAATGGGATTCGTCGAAGTCAGACAGCACTTTGATCAGAAAGAAACTGCTGAGTGCACGTCGGAAGTGGTGACCAGGGTTGTAATAGGAAAAGCTTCGAAGGAATGGCAATGGAGACTTCTGGAGAGAGAGTGAAAGAAGTTTTGTCCAAAAACAAAAATGTGGCAAACCATTATGTAACTACCTTGGATGACGTGCCTATTAGGCGGTGTGGGTAGCTTTGATGTGATAGAGTGATGCGTGACAGATACGAACCAACGAGCTGTTGACATGATGATCTTGGTTGAGATGTTGAATTTAGATGGGATAGAGCTTGTTTGTTCTTGGTTCTTGATGAGTTGATACTAGGGTCTTGATGTTCTTGAATTATTGAATCATGATCTCTGCTAGTACTGCGATCTTTGTCAAGATGTTGGACCTGAAGGAAATAGAACATGATGGTTCTTGATTCTTAGTTCTTGACGAGTGGACATTTGAGTCCTTGTTTCGATACGCCGGTTAGTTATGATCTCGGTCGGAAGAGTATCTCTAGCATGTTGGAAGATGAAACGATGTAGGTTCCATCACCTCAGGTTGCCGAGGTAATAGAACCTAGGGGGCAGTTATGGGGAAGTATTTTGAGATGATGCAACGTGGTTAAGGTTACGCCGAGGTGCCACGTAGGCAGATCATGTTTACCGAGATGTTTAGGGCACTACCAAGGTATTCTGCAGGGATACCAAAATTTGAGATATTTAGATAGAGGACTAGAGTTCTAGATGACATCAAACTACCTATTTGGATAGAGATGATACTCTTGATGAAGTTCATCTTAATCTGAGTAGTGTGAGTTGTGATAGATGTTATCTTTGTAAAGGATAGAGTCCCGTGAAGTAAACCTTTTAGGAGAAGTTGGACATTGATCATTATAAAACTACGGCACCCTCGTGGGTCTAAAGTATGCTTTTATTTGTGATGTGATTTATGTTATGAGCTCTTGATTTGAGTTGATGATATCTTGTGAGATAAGTGACTGACTTGATTGTCGGAGTGTCCCCGAGTGGACGAACCACCGTGTTATTCTCATCTTTTTGTTGGCAAGTGTTCAGGCTTAATCTATTTTGCCGCATGCTCTCCAGCTAAGTTCCCTATTTGGTTGTGTGGTCAAAAATCAACACCCACATTTAATATTATGATTTGTGTTTGTTTTGCTTTCTCAAAAAAAAAAAAAAATTTAAAAAATCCTTCTCTCGCTTTTTACTTTTTTTAATTCCTGGTTTGTTTGTTCGAATTATTTTTTTCTTTTCTTTTTTTAAAAAAAAAAGGGATGTAGAAAGCTGTTGGTGTAACATTGAGAGCTCATCGTAAATACACGGCTCAAAATAAGATGAAATGTTAAGAGACATGCCCAGCTTGAGATACTAGAGTCTGCTTCAAAAGTGGACAAAAGAGGACATGACCTGTGTAATGTAATTGCCACCTTTATTCACTTATAGATAATACTGCCTGATTAGCCGCTCAAAATCAATTTATTGACATGTACATTATTAATCACCTTGTTTGGTTGAATCTCTCTTTTCTGAAAATTGAATTTTTTGATTTTAATGTTTTTTTGTTTTCACTAAGTTTTTTTAATATTTTAAGCTATTTTTTAGTTTTTAGACACACCAAATATAAATATGCTTAAAAAGTATAATATTTGTGAAAAATATCTTTAAAAAATTCACTAAAACCAAAAATACAAAAAAAATACAAAAATACAAAAATTTAGTATATTTTCATATTTATTGACTTTTTAAATTTTTTTTACAAATATTTTTTTTTTTATAAACAAAAATTTTTACAAAAAAAATTACTTTTTAGTTACATCTAGATGAGGTGCATTTAAAAAGTAAAAAAATTGCTTAAAATATTAAAAAAAATTCACTAAAAAAATGAAATTTGAATACAAAAATTGGAACCAAACAAGGTGATTTTTTTTTCCATGACAATTTGCTTCACATTGTACAGTTATTCTTGTTTAGAAAAATGCTTGGGAGCACTAATTAGTGCTCCCACTAATTAGGTGACAGTGAATCCCGCCATTAATGATGTGATGTTTTGGTCTTGGAGTTGTATTTTTTTTTGTTTTTTTTTACTTTTTTAATGCATTAGTGCTATTAGTGGTGATATTTTTAGTGGGATGAATCATTGTTGTTCTTGTTTATGGTACTAGTAGCAGTAGTGCATCAAGTTTTCACTTGTCTTCTGTTATGCTCTCAAAGTTCCAATCAAAGTGATAACAAATCAACTATAATTTTTTTTTTAAACCCAAAAACCTTCTCTACCTCTTATTGTCTATTTGAACACGATAGATGAGAACATAAATGACAAGACACTGGAGAAGTTTACTCCCCAACCGGATCCAATTAATTGATTCATCCACCTCATATTACCAAGTATTGAAAATATGAGAAACCCCTTTCCGATTTATTTCTACACTCCGATTAGCACTGTTTAAGTCTAACAATAATCAATAGCAACTAGAAAGGGTGTAGTTTAAATTACTGTCAATTCCACCATTTTCAGTAACTATCAGCCACAAGAACTTAAGACATTTTACAACAAGTTCAACAGAAGAGAAACAAGAACTTAAGAAGGTCTACATTACCTCTAACTCAGCCTTTGCAAGATCAGCTCACTATGAGGGACTCCAGTGGACTAGTTTTTTGCTTGTATAGATATACCCTTGAAAGGCCATCTCACCTATCACCTCAATCCAGTAAAGGAAGGGTGCAGAAGAGAAACAGCTAAGCAACTCAACAAATTATAACATCAGCATGAGAAAGATAGAAACACCCTTTCATCCGTGTAACTATATAGTGGTGTCTCTTTAAGTGTGGTATGACTACTATTCTAAAGAGTGATAACAATCAGAAACATTAATAGAATCCCAGAATTAATGACAACTCAGAGAGTTATGGTTCATCGTACAGATTTATAAGACTACATTGTCATAGGAACTTCTCAACTTAAATTTAATGTCGAGAATCCCCAGAAAATAAACTTTTGAAAAAGCTGTACTAGGTACCTGAGCAGCCTCATAATCTAGATCGAGAGTCAGGTAAGGATGATCCCAGTCTCCCCATACTCCAAATCGCTGTAAAAATTGAACATATATGCTTCGTATTCGAGCATCCCCTAAACTAACCTTAGCATTGATTTGCAAGCAAAAAGGAATTTTTTAGGTGAAAATTGAGTGTACACTAAGAACAATTATTAACTTTACAAAGACTACAGAGGGCATATGTTAAAGATTACTTTGATGTTTTATTACGGATACTAGAAATTCAAGCAGCCAACCTTAAATGAAGCCATTTGTGTCTTAACAGTGGCTTTCACAAACTTGGCTACCTTTGCCAAAAACCCCAATGGTGTGAGCTTCTTTCTAGCATCGTAATCCGATGACTGCCACACTAAAATAACTCAAAACAACAATCAAATCTTAAATAAAAAAGAAGAAAAAAAGAAAGGGAGATAGATTCTGCAGAGAGAGAGAGCGAGAGAGAGAGAGAGAGAAAATCAGAGGTATGGAGAAAACTTAAATCTTAATTATGCCAAAAGTTCTGATAATTCATTACATTAAACTGGTGACTCCACACTTCTGTTTGATCATCCAAAAGGCATTAGAAACACAATGGAAGCTTAGAATGTTATAACAAAGTTGAATCTGCAGCTACAAAAAGTCCAAGTTCCTATCCTGATGCCTACTTGCAATCCATCCAAATTTGATTAATTATCATTCTACTTTAACCCAGTGATCCCTCAGGAAAGAAAGATACAACCCTTTTACCTAAATGTGCACACATATAGATGAATTATATAATTATGTCACAACAATAACAACACATATACGTACTATACGGATATAAACACACGCCTAATCCATAATTCCATACCTGCCTATGCAAATTATCACGTAACATGAGTTATTCACATACAATCAATACAAATTAACACCAATTTACAAACATAAACAAAAATCACCATGAGGAGTTCGAAAAAGAACTTGATTGAAGTTTTCGGTGAGCTGTGAACATGTGAAAGTGCTTAGTTTGATTGTGTATATGTACATGAGTGTGTATAGAAATATAATATATATATATATATATAGCATACTCTATGGGAAGAACTTTTCATAGCCATTTAAGCTCCACTGGGATTGAAGTTTGAGGTTGCAACGTTTTTAAGGAAGAAAGTGGATTTCATTCGTTAGCAAAGCTTCGACATTGAAAGGGGAAGAAGATAAGGACTTATGGATAAGAATGAACTAAAATCTCAAGCTCGATTTTTGCATACTATGTGTAATACATTGAATTTACGAGGAGGTCCCTGTGCTCCAATATATTTATGGCTAAACCCCAAACCCTTATTTTCTTATTACCATTATGTCCTTTACGTAAATTACCTTTTAGGACAAAACCCTAAATCTAATTCTCAATACACACCCACCGCCGCCACCATCATACCAGCCGCTGGTGAACCCCTCCATTCTCGCCCTATCGCTCCACCACCACCTTCCAGCCCCATATTTACCTTCACCACGTCGCAACCACCACCATCACAACGACCATCCCCAACGACCCACCACCCCATGACCACCACCATTGCGTTTCTCATCACCCGGAGACCACCACCATTGCAACCCACTCATATCGGTGACCCACTACTTGCAGTCCATAAAAAGAGAGAGTAATCTGTGATTGTGACGGGGTCATGATGGATAGGGGGTTGCGGCATAAGTCATGGCAATGGGGGTTGTGATGGTGGTACAACAGTGGTGGTAGGGGCTACAATGGTAGTGGGGCAGCGGGAGTGAGGGGTGGCGTCCAGAGAGGAGGGGTGGCAACCGACGGTGGATAGTGGTTAGGGTTTAGGGTTTGCTGGGATAAGATGAGGGTAATTTGGTATTATCTGCATTACTCTATATTGCCATGATGCCTAGAAGTAACTCTTTAAATTTAGTTCCTGTCACTTAAACACCTGTACACTCCCTGTGGATCTCAAACACAAACTAGGAAAACTAGATGCTCCCACATGCTTTCAAAGGAAAAAAATTAAAACCTTCTTGATTCTTCAAAAAGAATTAAACAAATCCATATGCTCTACACCTCTGTTTGATCATCCAAAAGGCATTAGAAACACAATGGAAGCTATAATAAGTCCAAGTTCCTTTCCAGGTACCTTCTTGCAATCGATCCAAATTTGATTAATCATTTTTCTACTGTAACCCACTGATCTAGCAAAAAAAAGATACAAAACTTTTACTTGAATGTGCACACATTCAAACATAAAGCTGAATTATATATGTATGTCACAACAATAGCAAAACTGACACAAACCCCATAGTGACATTTTGTCAAGCAACTGGCATGCTTGTGATTTAATATTTGTAACTCAATCAAGCTAACACATATACATGATATACAAACATAAACACACACCTAATCCATAATTGCGTACCTACCTATGCAAATTATCACATAACCTGAGTTATTCACATGCATTCAATACAAATTAACACCAAATTTACCAACACAAACAAAAATCACCATGGGGGGTTCAAAAAAGCACTTGATTGAAGTTTCCAATGAACTGTGAACTTGTGAAAGTGCTTAATTTGAGTGTGTGTGTGTGTGTATGTGTATATATATATATATATATAGCATATTCTATAGGCAGACGTTTGCATAGCCATTTGAGTCCTGCTGGGATCCAAGTTTGAGGCTACCAAGTTTTTAAGAAATAAAGTGGCTTCCATTCATTGGCAGAGCTTTAACATCAAATGGGGAAGAAGAATATGAGGATTTATGGATATATATGAACTAAGAACCTCAGGCTCTATTTCTACATACTATATGTGTAATACTTTTTATTTACAACGAGGTCCCTATGCTCTAATATATTTATGGCTAAACCCTATACCCTTATTTTTTTTACTACTATTATGTCCCTCAAGTAAATTACCTATTAGATCAAAACCCTAAATCTAATCCCTAAATACACACCAACTAATGCCTTTAACACTAACAGCAGGTGAACTACCTCACTCCTCTTCAGCCCCGTTGTTGTCTCCACCACTTCGCAACCACCACCATTACAGCCATCATCCCCAACGACCCACCACCCCATGACCACCACCATCGTACCTCTTATCACCCGGAGACCACCATCTTCGCAACTTACCTCCGATCGGTGACCCACTACTCGCAATCCACACAAAGAGAAAAAGAGAGAGATCTGTGATTGCGACGAGGTTGAGATGGGTGAGGGTTGTGGCAGTTGTACGTCACGGCGACAGGGGCTGCAATGATAATGGAGCAGCGGTGGAAGGGGCTACAATGGTGGTGGGCCAGTAGGGGCGAAGGGTGGAGACCGGTGGGGAGGCGTGGCAACCGGCAATGGGCAGTGGTTAGGGTTTACTAGAGAATATGAGGGTAATTTGATATTATCTAAAAATTGGCAGGGTGTGAGGCAAAATTAACAGTTTCAATTTATATATCTTTTCAAATGCTTTCAAAGAAACAAATTAAAACCTTCTTGATTCTTCAAAAATAATTAGACAAATCCATATGCTCCACACCTCAGTTTGATCATCCAAAAGGCATTAGAAACACAATGGAAGCTTAGAATGTTATAATAAAGTTGAAGCTCCAACTACAATAAGTCCAAGTTCCTTTCCTGGTACCTTCTTGCAATCCATCCAAATTTAATTAATCATATTTCTACTTTAACCCACTAATCCCATAGAAGGGAGAAAAAAATGCAACCCTATCACCTGAGTGTGCACACAAGCAAACCCTTACTAACATTTTGTCTAGCAACCGGCATGCAGGTGATTTTATATTTGTAACTTATTCAAGCCAACACATAAACATACTATACCCATATATACATACGCCTAAACCACAATTACATACCTGAATTATCACATAACCTAAGTTATACACATGCAGTCAATACCAATTTGCATACATAAACAAAAGTCACTATGAAAAAGCACTTGATTGAAGTTTCCAGTGAACAATGTGAACTAGTGAAAGCGCTTAGTCTGAGTGTGTGTATGTGTACATGAGTGTGTTTATATAAGTACTATATTTATATATAGCATACTCTGTGGGAAGACATTTACATAGCCATGTTGTGAGCTCCTGTGGGATTCGAGTTTGAGGTTGCGAAGTTTTTAAAAAAGAAAATGGATTTCATTCATTGGCAGAGCTTCGACATCGAATGGGGAAGAAAAAAGTGATATAAACTTATATGTGTAATACTCTGAATTTACGAGGAGGTCCTTATGCTCTAATATATTTATGGATAAGCCCCTCATTTTTTATTACCATTATCTCCCTCAAGTAAATTACCTTTTAGGACAGAGCCCTAAATCTAATTCTCAATACAAACCCACCGCCACCACAATCAACACCAGTCACCGGTAAACGCCCCATTCCTCCTTAGCTCCGACGCTCCGCCGCCTTCCAGCCCCATCGCTGCCTCTACGACTTCGCAACCACCACCATTACAGCAACCAACACCATCGTGCCTCTCATAATGTAGAGACTATCACCCTCGCAACTCACCTCCGATCGGTGACCCACTACTCGCAATTCACAGAGAGAAAGAGATCTGTAACTGCGAACGGGGTCGCGATAAATGGGGTTGGGCGGTTGTACGTTGTAGCGATGGTGTGGGACGGCGATGGTAGGGCTACGGTAGTGGTGGGGCGAGGTGTGGTGACCGAAGAGGAGGGGTGGCGGCTGGCAATGGACAGTGGTTAGGGTTTGATGTGAGAAGATGAGCTAAATTTGGTATCTATCTATTCTGCAAGCTTCTATTTGCACACACCCATTCCACTCTTTGCACATCTTTTTCAATACACACACTTAAAAAATTAATCATAAATTATTTTGCTAACTGCACACACCTTTTATTCCACATCTACCCTCTTGCACACCCACACACACTCAAACCCCCAAACCCGTCTCTCTGAACGGTTTTGCACACATCCATTCCACTGTCATCCCCATCACACACACACACACTCATCTCTCACAGTCTACCTTTCGTCCCCAAAAGTTGTATCCATCAATTGAAGACATCTCATTAAACCATTAAAGACATCTCATTAAACCATTAAAGACATCTCACGTGAATCATTGAAGGAATTCTTCACATTTGGAGAACTTAGGTTAGTTTATTTATTTCAATCTTCATTCCTATTCATTTGTAATAAAGGGTTTGTTTTTACCATTTTCGAAACGAATGAACGCATAGCCTACCAAAATGAGCAATCTGTTCCTCATTCAGAATTGGTTTTCCGAAAATAAACAACTTGTTCGGAAGTAGAATTCCAAAAATTATCATATATTTCAACAGTAGAATTTCGAAATTTTTTCATTTTTTCGACATTCAACTTCTGAAATGAATTTAGTTTTTCGGTTTTCAACTTCCGAACATAATAGATATTTGTGGTTTTCAACTTCTGAACAGTTTTGTTTTTGTTTTTTCCCCCCTCTTTTGTATATTCTTTTTACAATTGTATACTCATTAAATATATTAATTTTTGCAGATAATATGGATTATGAATGTCAACAACATGTCCCACCTACTGCTTTAAATAGACGATGTCATGAATTGGATGTTGACCATGAATGGAGACGAGGGTATGGGTGAGGACGTGGTCGTGATCCAGTTCTAGTAGAATATGATATCCTTAGTGCCAATCAAAGTTGGAGCCGGAGCCAAAGACGAGTTGAAGGTGATGATATGCCTGACACTGCCGTGGAGGATGCCCCTTTACCTGATTCTCTTACTGTCCAAGAAGAGGACCTTACTCATACTTTTCCAGGTAAATCGACTGATCCATCAATACTGTGGAGTTTCAATAGTCATGTCGATGTAGCTGTTTGGCAAGAGGAGGTAAACATTCCTAAGTAGAAGTGAAATTCATTTGTATATGATTTTTTTTTTTTTTTTGGTGTTATATGGTAGTTTCTGATGAGATATTCATTTGTTTTATAGGAACAAGGGCCCTTAAAGTGTCATAATCACTCTTCAAAATCCTTGCATGGCCATGGTGGTCAGTAGACAACAACACCAGATTCAAAGCCATTATTGAGTGATTTGGGCTGTCACAGTTAGCTCGTTGCACTTATCGATTCGTCAACAAGCTTCTAATCTCCAGTTTTGTTGAGAGATGGCAACCTGAGATGAACACATTTCATATGACAGTTGGTGAGATGACCTTGACCTTGGATAATGTTGGCACTATATTTAGCCTTCCCATTGTAAGCAGATCAGTCAGCGTACCAGATGTCACGAATCTTCATGGAGCTACACTACTAGTTTTTGGCTTGGGGATTACTGAACGTGTAGCGCATGACGAGCTTTCTACTGTTGGTGGAAATTTAGTTAGGCTTGAGTGGTTGCGAAGTCAGTTTGCTAGTGTCACAGATTCAGATCCAGAGGAGGCTATACAATGCATTGCTAGAGCTTATTTGTTGTTTCTGGTGGGATGTACGCTCTTCAGTGACAAGAGTGGCGGTAGGGTTCCTGTTGTTCACCTTGGCTTATTGATGGATTTGGGATCCGTTCATATTTACGCCTGGGGTACTGCTACATTAGCATTTTTATACAAACAGTTAGGGTATGCTAGCTGGTCTGGTGTTAAGCAGATGGGTGGTTATATGACTTATTTGGAGGCGTGGATTTATTAGTACTTCTGAGCATTCCGACCTCACTAGAACATGGGCTACATTAAAAACATGCCACACGTGTACCATTGGACATCTAGGAGAGAGGCAGCTTCCTCCATTGATCATTTGAAATCTTTTCGAGTGGAGCTTGACAATTTGGTAGCGACTAATGTAAGTTTACTCATCCTGAGATAATTTTAACACTTTCCATTTATCTTACCCTTTATATACTTTAATTCAAAAACACTTTGGTGCCGTTTACATTTTCAGTTTTCTGTTTATATTTACAAAAATTTTAAAAACTCAAATAAAAACTTGTTTGGTAAAATTTTTTATTTATAAATCAGTGGTCTCAGTTTATAAATTTGGCCAAAAAATGAAAACACAAAAAATGTGTTTCCGTTTGAGTTTTGAGTTTTTTTTTTTTACCACCCAACACTAGCCACCACCCACTACCATTTTCACCACCGTCTTCCGCCACCACCACCACTCCACTACCCACCCCACCACCACCTGTCACCATTACTCACCCACCACCCGCCACACCAGCCACCAGCCACCAGCCAGTCGCCACCACACCTGCCACCACTACTGCACCCATCACCCGCCACCACCAGCCACTAGCCACCACTAGTCACCAGCCACTAGCCACCACTAGCCCCACCCACTCGCTACACCATTTGCCCCATTACTCACCCACCACCCGCCACCACACACACCCTCGCCACCACCGACCCACCGACCTGCCATCCACTCGCCACCACCTGCCACCACCCGTCACTACCATCTACGCCACCACCACACACCGACTACTTGCCACCACCACTCACCACCTCTCCACACACCATCCCACACTTAGCCACCCATCACACTCACCCACCACCCATCAGCCAACCACCACCTACTTCACCACCACCTACCACTCGCCACATCCACCCGGCACCCATCCAACCACCACCACCACCGCCCGCACCAACCTACCACCATCTCCACCTCAATTTTGCCACATTACCACCACCTCCGCACACCACCACCATTCGCTATCCCCAACTACACCGTCAATCGCACACCTACGCCGCATCCACCACCCACCTTCCACCACCACCCGCCACCACCACCACCCACTCACTACCACCCGCCACCGTCACCCACCCATCCACCACCACCACCCACCACCACCAACTACCCACCACTCATCGTTACCACTTTTCACCACCGTCTTCCACTGTCACTTGCCACCACTTGCCATTTCTTACTCTTTTTTAAATTTTTAGAAATTTTGTCAATTACCAAACGCGTTTGTAATTTATGTTTTTCTAAAAATAAACAAAAATCAGTTTATAAAATTTTTGTAAATATAAACTGAAAACATAAATGTTACCAAACACACCCTTTACGTTTACAGGTTATTTGGAATCCATACCATAATTGCAGAGATTGGCATCTATGTAACCCCGTTATGTTCTACCATGGATGCTTGAAGTGCTTAGACGTGGCCAAACCCTATCATCCAGATAGAGTTCTGAGGCAGTTTGGCAGGGTTCAAACCATCCTAGATACACCGCTGACTCCTATTCGTGGTGCTCGAGGCAACATATCTGCACGATATACAGTCATGTATAGATACTTGGATAGGATTTGGGAGGCATGGGATAACCACGTGTTATCTGAGCAGTGGAGGAGCACACCAGTTCGTCAGTCTTAGGAATGTGAACCGGGTTACATGGATTAGTATAAGAATATCATGCACCTATATGTTGAGCGCACTGATAGACCACGTGTGCATGAACATCAGGATTTCAGCCAGCATGCCAATGTAATATATTATCCTCTTTTATACATTTGTAAATTACTTTTGCTTTTCTGATATGTTCCCTAAAATGTGATATTCTTTTCAAATGCAATGTATTGCACATGCACTGAGAATTGCACATGCTATCATTCAGGTTGGTTATGAGGATAGGATTCGACATCCTCATCAAATTTACCAAGCTATCGAGGCTATGGCGCATGTCCTTGAAAGTCAGCACATCGACGAAGCTGGACCTAGTTGTACTGGAGGCCGCTTTTCATCTCCGATATTAACATACAATCATAGGCCTAGTCGTAGGCATACAAATGATTCGTGACATGTTATTTGTCAGTTAATGAATTTTTTTGTGGTGTTTTTGTAAGCTGACATTACTGTACACATCTTTTAATGACATTATAAAAGATATTTTGTTATTAGAATGGAATAGTAACAATGGTCGATGACAATGTAAATGATATTTTGTTATTATAATGGAATGGTAACAATGGTCGATGACATTGTAAATGATATTTTCTTATTAGAATGTAGTGGTAACAATGGTCGATAACATTCAACCCATGCCACAGAACACATTAACATCAAAAAATACATCCATTAATTTCGTCCATAGTTTTAGCATTGTCAAATGCATACATGTGTCATTCGACATCAACAACATCAAATGTCTCTTGAGTAGCTATAGTATCATGAATGATGTCCTTGAAATGCTGAATGTGGCACACATATGCATCATCTCAGTCGACAGGGCAAGGGTGACGGTATTTTCGCCAATTAATGGGTATAGGAGGAACTGGAGGAACCGGATGACCTGGCTGCAAAAAAAACCTACACCAAATGTCACTTGAGTTAGTGGTCATGCCTCATAACTTTTTGTACATGCACAAAATGATAAGTTTCTATTATACTTGGACGAAATGATTTCCGTTGACAAACCCAATGGCAATCTCACGTCTATCAAGTTGAGGTACTAGCACTGCTTTAAGAGGTAAAAATGTGAGACCTTGTTATAATGACAAGTGGTATAACACAAGATTGTAGCATGATGCAACAAGATGCCCCATGTCTGGCATAGTCATCTAATGTGAGTAGCCAGGATTGTCTTCAAAGTATGACAATATACTTGTCAATTCTTCAAACCTTTCGTAGGACCCATAGAGTGTAATGTATTCCCCTTTGTTTGTGTGCAGCTCGCCCAAAAGATCACATCTAACCTGAGCCCAATCATCTTCTATATGACCAATTGAAGTAGTTATAGCCCTGAAACAGCAATTCTCATCTACAGCTACATCCTTGGCAAACTTAATGTATGGTTTCAGCCCAGAAGGGAAAGCATCAACATATGCACCAGGTTTTACTGTTCTGGTAATGTACACCTCCCCCTTCGCATTCACCTTCTCCTTTCCTTTAACAGGTTGTTTCTTCTTGGTTTCCGGAGTAGAAGCTAATGTAATGATTTGAGTGTCCCTAGGTGAGAAGGAATCATGTCCAGATTGCACAAACTCAAATGCACACGGGTCACAATGGGTAGAAACATTGATCTTTTTATGACCCCGAGGACGTGTTTTGGGCTTCACCTCTGGCACAACAAGAAAAGTGCTTCCCAGACATACAATCTCTTTCAACTTCTTCAAAAACTCCAATCGCATGGTTTATCACTTTCATTGAACTTTCACAAACAACTCTACTCCTGCATGACAAGTCACCTCCGTTTCTTCTTCTTTGTTGCATATGGAGATATGAAGTTGCCTCAACTATGAGTGTATGGTAGCAAATGGTATAGGATGATCTTGTCTGATGTAGTTAGCAATCTCATGGGCACAAGGTAAACCATAAGTGTGGCGAAGGACGCATCCACAAGCTTCAGCATCAATACTAATGGAATTGGATCTCTTAATCTCTACAAGCAACTACTCTAATGTAGAAATAGACACATTACCTCGTAGCTCCCTAAACTGAGAATGCTTGAATTGATGTTTCACAATAGTTAGACTTTTCTCAAACAAAGCCTTGATATCAGTGTGTTACAACTCAAGAAGACTGTGTATTTTCTCAAATGATGCCTCAAATAAGACTTGACATAAACCCAATTGTCTTTTAAGTTTTGCATGTGCACTCTCAGCCCTGTTCAATTCATGTGCACTTATTAATAACTTATTGAACAATAATAACTTATTGAACAAAAGTAATCTTACCGGTTGGTTATGACATTGCCACAATGCATACGCATGTCTGTCCATGCCGCTACAAATTTCTCCTTGTAAAGAACCAACCAAGTATCCATGACGTAGTTCACTGTATCAGGATAACTACTGAATTCCCTAAGTAATGATTTAAGACGCTCATCATATTGAATTTCAGAAGATGAATACACTAAAGAGTTTCACTCATGCTTGAACTTCTCTCATTTTTGCTTTGTCTCAAATATTTTCTTGCATTTGGTCAATACATTCTTGCTGATATGCCAACGACATAATAAATGTCTGCCACTCGAGAATATCTTCTGTATGGCATTCATCAAGATTAGCTCTCTGTCAGTGACAATAATCGCTGGCAAAACAAAACCTTCCATGACATAACGCAATATAACTAACACCTATGCATATTTATCAGCCCTCTCAGACTGTAAGTATGCGAAGGCTATCGAGAAAGTCATTTTAGTTGATGCCACTCCCATAATTTCAAGAAGAGAAAAACGATATCTGTTGGTTTTATATGTGCAATCCATAATCAATATACATGGGAAAGACCGAAATAAGTCCAAACTGGTAGGATGTGCCCAAAACAAGTCTGTCATAGTCATCGTGGACTCTTCACGTCGATGGCGCTCAATGTAATTATACTTGGCCAATTCACCTGTCACGACCCAAACCCACCCCTACAGGCTTAGTGTTGTAATCGGCCAGTAATCCTTAGATTACCAAAGGCCTCTTGACATAATAGCATATAGTTAGGGGCTGCGAAAGTAAATATACAAAACATACGAAGTCCATTGAGTTGTGAAGACATACATGAAACCGAAAACCTTAAACTTTATATACAATCAAGAGACATCATAGGTATAGTATTTACACGTCACTAACAAGTACATACAAAAGGCGACTTGTTCATAAAACAAAAGAAACAGTCTTATACATCCATATTGACATAGCCACAATACATGACTTGATCTGGAACCTCCTCGTGAGGCGCAGAGGGTGGCTGACCAACA